ATTTTTTTGTTTTTTTTCATTGCAAATTCATACTGGTGCTTATATTTGAGTGGTGCTTATATTCCAGAGAATACGGTGATTATTTAAAAAATGATTGTTAGTAAAGAAAAGAATAATGATGAATTAATGACAAGTTTTATTGATGTTGTGTAAAATTTAATTAAGTTAATTTTTTTAATTTGAACAGTGTTATTGTTGGTGATAACTAAGGTTGCTTGCCAAAACCTCTTGGTGGCTGTCAAAACTCTGTCAAAACTCTAATGAACAATTAGTATATACTTTGTCAAAACTCTGACAATTGAGAAAACAATTATTGGGTAACCTGTCAAAATTTTGTCAATTGATTTCTGGAAGAGTTTCGCCACAACCTCAGACAGGAACTCAATTTTGATAGATGAGTTGGAAACTTGACGGTCTACTTCTTCTAGAATTGGAATTTTTTCAGTAGGAGGCTCTTCAGTTGGGAGAATTTCAGTAGGGAGAATACTTGCATTATTTTCAGCCTGATAACCTTCTGGCTCATCAAGATTCTCAGCATCATCAATCATATTTCTTTTCTGGAACAAAGCATATAAATTTGTATATGAAACTTCATACCACTGAACTTTTTTATTACTTTTTTGGTCTCCTGCTCTTTTTACATGTATTATAAAGATACAAGGATGATACATTAATATCTGAATATACTCCTCCTTTATAAATGCATGAATTAAATTAATATCTCTATTTGTCATCATTAACTTGGTCTTGGTCATAGGAATTACTCATTCATCAAACTCCGGATTAAGTTTGACATACTCTAACATGTAAGAATAAAAAGCCTTTCCAACTTCTGGATTTTTTATGGCATCACCTAGTGTAGCATAGTAATGATCCAAGTAAGGTTGTGGGCGAAATTCCTCCAGAAATCAATTGACAGAGTTTTGACAGGTTACACATTAATTGTTTATTAGAGTTTCACATTTGGGGGTTTTGTCAATCATCAGAGTTTTGACAAGGTA